TTAAATGTTAAGCCTCCCTTGAGTTTCTTGGATTAACTGTTTCCGTACAGGATGCGTTCTTTTTATTTTACATCCCAGCTGCAGTTTACCTTCCTTCCTCTCCTCCCAGTCCCTTCCCCCCAGAAATCCTGCCCCCCAACTACTCCTCCATTTCTATTGGGGTCTCTCGTGGATATCAACAAAACATGGCATATCAAGTTGTAGTAAGACAAAGCTCCTCCCCTTGTCTTAAGGATGAGCAAGGACTAGGTTCCCAAAAGCCAGTAAAAGTAGGAGACAGCCCCTGTTCCCACTGTTAGGAGTCCCACAAGATCAAGCTACACAGTGGTAACATATGTGCAGATGGCTTAGGTCAGTCCCATGCAGGCTCCCTGGTTGTTGGTTCAGTCTCTGTGAGCCCAGATTAGTTGATCCTGTGGATTTTCTTGTGGAGTCCTTGACCCCATTGGCTCCTACCATCTTTTTTCCCCTCTTCTGCAGAATTCCCTGAGCTCTGCCTCATGTTTGGCTGAGTCTGCATCTGTTTCCATCAGCTGTTGGATGAAGCCTCTCTGATGACAATTCGCCAAGTCTATGAATATGGCAGAATATTGTTAGGCTTCATTACATTGACATTTTCCCTCTCTAGTTGTGTTAGAGATTGAAGGAGCATCCAGTCTATGACTGGTCAAGCCTAAAACCCATACCAGGAGAGTCAGCCCACCCCTGACACTGCCTGAAGCACCAGAACACATAGGCTGGATGGCCCAGAGACCTAGGATGCATTCTTATAAAAGTACTGCACTATTTGAGTGACTACTGTTTTATTTAGCATATTCTGTTTCCGTGTTTGTATATGTGATGGCCTATAACTTTGATTCTTAACCCAAAGAAAAACTACTTGTAGACCAGGCTGGCCTGGCACTCACAGAGATCCCCCTGCCTCTGCTTCCCGAGTGCTGGGATTAAAGGTGTGTGCCATCAACACCTGATAAACTACTTCTCTAGAAGGCATTTGGAAATGTCTGGAGGTGCTTTTGATTTTCATAGTTAATTATATGTGTATATCTGTATGAACCATCTTAGCAGAAAGGCTTATTAAAATTGCCAGATGTTGGCAGATGTGGTGGCACATGCTTTTAATCCTAACATTCAGGACACATGAGGCAGGTGGATTTCTGTGAGTTGGAGGCCAGCTTTATCTATATGGTGAGTTACAGGCTATCCAGGGCTACATAGTAAGACCTTGTCTAAAATACACACACACGCACACACACCCCAAATAAAAAACATCAAAAACCATATTGCCAGCTGTTAAAATATTTTCTTGTATTTTTCTTGTGATTATTGAATTTTCACATCAGTATTGTATACTTTAGTATATCTAGGTTCATAACAGAGGTAGGCCTGTCATTTTATATTTGTCAGTTTGGGTGTGGAGACGATACTAGTTCTACTCTGTGTGCTCCAGCTGTCCTCATATCTTGTTCCTGTGGAAATTTGTATATGACATTTTACCATTTTATAATTTAACTGTTCAGAAGAGGCAGTATAGTGTAATAACTTTTATTCTTGGACCTTTTAATATTTTTCACAAAGATTTAATATACTTTACTTGAGATCTGATGAAATACATATTTCCTATCCTAGAATTTTGATCATTCCACACCCTTTATTCTGGTGTAATTAGTAACTAGCTATAGCTATAAATGCTTCCTACATAATTCCCAGATGTCTCTTGACTTTAATTCAATCTGTGGTATACATTTTGCATTAGAATTATTCATTGTAAGTCACAGAAATTGATTTTGATAATGCAAGCAAAAGTAAGAATGTGTGGAAGGATAGTAGAGTTGTTCAAATTCAAATTGATAATGCTTGAAAAACAAGGCCTTCAGAAACCAGGGACCCACTCAGGAGGCAGAAGTAGGCAGATCTCTGAGCTAGCCTGGTCTACAGGGTGAGTTCCAGCACAGCCAGGGCTACACAGAGAAACCCTGTCTCAGGGTGGGGGTATTGGCGGGAGTCAGGAGCTGGTGAGCTTCAGGCATTTGGGGAGCAGAACCTCTGTCTCTAGTATTTTCAGTTAAGACTCAAAGTTTAAGGATGGAACTGGGCGATAGTGAAACATGCCTTTAATCTCAGCACTCGGCAGAAAGAGGCAGACAGATCTCTGAGTTCCAGGCTAGCCAAAGCTACACAGAAAAACCTTGTCTTGAAACGCCCCCCCAAAAAAAACCGGGTGATATGCTGAAGAGTAGCCAAGAAGCAGCTAAGGGAACTGACAGCTCCCTGGGTTTATTTCCCAGTCCCTCCAGGGCAACTTACAGCTGTCTGAATCCAGTTCCAGGATATCTGATGTCCTGTTCTGAACCCCCACAGGCACCAGGCATGCATACACAGCCATTACATGCATGTAAAACACTTACACACAATAAAATATTTTTTTAAAAAAATTTAAGAATGGAGTACTCATTCCAAGGACTGTTTGGGATTTCTTGTTATTATAAAAAGATCACTGAAAAAATGCTAAGAAAGAAATGAATTAACAACTGAAGGAGATGTTGAGTAATCTCAACATACAAATTTCAATTTGTATGCCAGGATCTCAGAAAGAGGTAAAGAATTAAGAGCCATAGGATAACTGAAATAAGGGACATAATTTAGGTTTCTTTGAAAGAGAGGGATGATGTATCTCTCCACTGGGCATGTACTGTTTTTGCAGTAATTTGAGGATTGGTCCTGTCTCAAGGAGAAATTAATTAGACCTGGAGGCTGGAAAAAGGACTTGAAGATGTATAACAAAAACATTGTGCTGGAAGCATCCCATTCCTAAGAATGAAACTGTTACGTGGAAATTTGAATGGAATGCAGTCTCTCTTTGTCAAAGTTATAATAAACGCTATGCCCTTTTCTCTAAAGTTTATCATTTATTTATGTGACACCTGTCCACATGCTATATGTTTTATGAGTGCTGTTTTGTTTTCATAACTAATTATGCAGATATTATTTCTTTTAGAGACAAGATTTATCTGTGTAGCCCTGGCTGTCCTGGCACTCACTCTGTAGTCCAGGCTGGCCTTTAACTCACAGAGATCTGCCTGCCCACACCTTTCAAGTCCTGGGATTAAAGACATGTGCCACTTTGCCTGGCTATTATTTTATGCAGGTATTCCTGGAGTCTTAAGAGTGTTTAATTTACTCAAGGTGTTATTACTTGAAAGAATTCAAAGACACCTTTTTTTTTTTTTTTCGAGACAGGGTTTCTCTGTGGCTTTGGAGCCTGTCCTGGAACTGATTCTGTAGACCAGGCTGGTCTCGAACTCATGGAGATCCGCCTGCCTCTGCCTCCCGAATGCTGGGATTAAAGGCATGCACCACCATCGCCCGGTGCAAAGACACCTTTCATGTAAGTGCAATGCACTCCAAACAATAAGCTATAGGTTAAGATTGTTGAACCTTTCCTGTGTACCACATACCATGCTTAACCCCATTATCCATTATCTCGTTTAGTCTTTGTAATAACCATATTAGCAAAGTACTGCTATCTGTACTTAAATGACGAATTTGAGGCCTAGATATACTAATTCATAACATGGTTGTCACATATGCATTTTAGTAAATGGAACAGTTGGACTTGAATATATCTGCTGGATTCTAAAACCTATATACTTTATTGATACACTTTCCCATCGCAAACCCCACAAAATCCAGACTAGCAGTTCTCTCCCTTGACAGTGTATAAAACTCACCTGGGGAGCTTTAAACAAAATAATGGTGAACCTCATCAAAGATTTTAATTTGGTTTAGAAGTGTGACCCAGTTACTTTTGTAAAGAATAGCTTTTGTAAAGCTAGTCATTGAGTTTAATCAATATTAAATGAGTGTCTGCTGTTCTAAATGGTCTCTAGGCATTTATATTCAAGCAGGACTATCAGCTAGCTCTCGCCATGGTGCCGCCTAACAAAGCCTACAGCACTTCTGAATGCATAGTGAGCGCTTGTTCTCACAGATTTGGAGACCAGCTGAGACACAGCTGGTTAGGAGCATTTTGTTGGACAACTCTGATTCAGACTGAGGTGGTTCTGCCTTTTTTTTTTGTGTGGCAGTACCATGATCAAGCTACAGTGGCTATGTGTCACATATTACTAGTCACATATTTGGACCAGTGGACTAGCTGGCCTTGCTTCGAAAAAAGACACCACCTTTTGGTGTGTAGAACTGGAAGGCTTATGACAGGAGCTGAAAGTTGGACCCAAAAGTTCAGTTTAGCTGGGAAAGATGATAGAATACAATAAGTACATTACCAAGCATAGTAGAAGGTACCAAGTTGTATTGCAAAGAAAATTGAGTTTTAGAAGCTACTATGAAAGCATTGTGTAGCTAGGACTGTGTGACGGCTTACTTTGCTTGTCAACTAGACTACATTTGGAATCAACTAAAAACCAAGGAGCTGGACACACCTGTGAAGGATTTTTCTGATTGGGTCACTTGGAGAGAAGACCCACTCTAAATCTGGGCCTTGTCTTCTAGTGGCATATCAGTTCTGTTTCTTTAGAGAACCCCGACTAAACAAACTATGCCATTGTTCTTAAAATGGTAAGAATGAAACTTGGTCTGACATTGCCTCAGCCATTAGGAAAATAAGAATATAATTCTAAAAGGTAAAGAATCTTACCTCTAGCTAGAAACGAAACTGAGACCTATGCCCTCCCTTCTCCTCCCTATCTCCCCCTCTCCTTCTCTCCCTCCTTCCTTTCTTGGGATAGGGTCTCACATATCTGTGTATTTGATGTCAGGCTGACATCAAATACACAGATATCTGCCTGCCTCTGGGCACAGGGATTAAAGGCATATACTACCATGCCTGACTTTGCATCTTGGTTTCTAAACTCAGATTATAGTGTTTGAATCTATAGTCTTAGAATTTTCCTTTTACCAGAGACACCAAAAATGAGCTGTACAGAATCAGTATGTCATCATCTCTGTTTCGGATTACAATGGTAGTCTTGATTTTTCAGAATGAATACTCTGAAGAAAGAATATGGGATCTGCTGGTACCTCGAGCTTATTGTCCAAAGAGAAGGTGAGTAATTGAAGTGGAGAGAATAGTATAAAGGGAAGTCTTCGTATTTTGTTATGGCTGCTTTCTATGGGGAGCAGAAGCCAGTTGTCCGCAAAAGACTACATATTTGCCTGTGACGTTCTGACGTCTACCTTTCCAAACCCTGCTTTCTTCTCTCCACCTTTAGCCTCATTTTGTCCTGTCTTCTTAATGACTGTGTGTGCCATGTTTTCAAAGGTGTGCAATAGTTAAAAAAGAAAAAAAATTAAGGATGTGAATCTGTGTTCTTTTTTTTTTGTAGGCATTTTGTATCTTATTTATTTATTTATTTATTAAAGATTTCTGTCTCTTCCCCACCGCTGCCTCCCCTTTCCCTCCCCCAATCAAATCCCCCTCCCTCTTCAGCCCAAAGAGCAATCAGGGTTCTCTGCCCTGTGGGAAGTCCAAGGACCACCCACCTCCATCCAGGTCTAGTAAGGTGAGCATCCACGAAACTGCCTAGGCTCCCACGAAACCAATAGGTACAGTAGGATCAAAAACCCATTGCCATTGTTCTTGAGGTCTCAGTAGTCCTCATTGTCCACTATGTTCAGCGAGACCGGTTTTAACCCGGGCTTTTTCAGACCCAGGCCAGCTGGCCTTGGTGAGTTCCCGATAGAACATCCCCCTTGTCTCAGTGTATGGGTGCACCCCTCGCGGTCCTGAGTTCCTTGCTTGTGCTCTCTCTCCTTCTGCTTCTGATTTGGACCTTGAGATTCCAGTCCGGTGCTCCATTGTGGGTCTCTGTCTCTGTCTCCTTTCATCGCCTGATGAAGGTTATTTACCTCTGTGTGCAAATATTTGGACTGAGTATTTATTTGGATTGAGTGTTTGTGTATTTGAATGTAGGCTACAGTGTGAACTTGTTGAAATAACGTTCAGTAATGCCTTATTCTTCACAATTACCAAGCTAGGCTCTGTTGCAGTGTGAATGTGATATGTCCTCTATGGGCTTTTACATTCAAACACTTGGCCTCTAGCTGGTGGCAGTGGTTTGTGTAGACAGAGTTTCTTCGTGTCCCGGCAGTCGCTCCCTAATAACCACACAGAGACTTATTATTAATTATAAATGCTTGGCCTATAGCTTAGGCTTGTCTCCAGCCAGCTCTTACAACTTCAATTAGCCCATTTATATTCATGTATGTGCTGCCCCAAGGCTCATTTACCTCATTTATGAACTTGCCATGTTGCTGCTTAGGCATCTGGCAGTTTTAACCTTTTTCATTTCCCTTTGCCTCCCCCTTCCACCATAGACATGGGTAAAAGCATTCAGCAGTAAGTATTGGGATAATGCTCTTGTACACTGTAAAGATTTGTCACTCATATTAGTTTAATAAAACGCTGATTGACCAGTAACCAGGCAGGAAGTATAGGCGGGGCGACCAGACTAGGAGAATTCTGGGAAGAGGAAAGGCAGAGAGTCAGTTGCCACCCAGATGCAGAGAGAAGCAAGATGAAAATGCCTTACTGAGAAAAGGTACCAAGTCATGTGGCTAAACATAGATGAGAATTATGGGTTAATTTAAGTTGTAAGAGCTAGTTTATAATAAGCCTGAACTAATAAGCCAGACAGTTTATAATTAATATAAGCGTCTGTGTTTCTTTGGGACTGAATGGCTTGGACCTGGGTGGGATAGAAACTTCTGTTTACATTTTGCTCTTTTTTCTATTATGTGATTAGTAACTCCTGTGAGCCCCCTACCACCTCATCCCCACCCTTCTCCCATTTTGTTTCATATTCACTTGGGTAGTAATTGTTGATTAGTGGTACTATATATGGAGCTCAAAATTTTAACAAATATGGCTTCTATATTATACATGTTCAACTAGATACTCAAATGTTGGAAGGATCACTGGTGCTAGAGCCACAAGTAGAGATTTTCTTTTTCCTTTTTGGTTTTTCAACAGGGTTTCTCTGTAGTTTTGGCTGCTGTTCTGTAACTTGCTCTGTAGATCAGGCTGGCCTCGAACTCACAGAGATCTGCTTGCCTCTGCCTCCGTGAGTACCAGGATTAAAGGTGTGTGCCACTACTGCCACTACTGCTCGAGATTTTTTTATGCCTATAAAAATCAGTTCTCTCTATCTAAAGTCATTGACTTTTTATAGCCAGTGAACCAAACAAGTCCAGCTAGTTGCCTAGTTTTATAAATAAAATGTTATTGGAAAACAACTATTCAATTACATAGCTGCTTTTATGGCAAAGTTGACTGATTGTAAAATATTGGAAACCCCAAAATATTTATGAAGCCTTTTGCAAGTGGAATTATATGGATTACTTGTTTCCCAGTAGTTGACCAGCTTTACTGTGAGGAAAGTTCTACAATCATTTAAGAGCAGAAAGTGTCGTGTCAGGATCCCAAAGATGGACTAGGGACAGAGGGTCGCTCTACCTCTTTGTTCTTCTTCCCAATGTAACCATACTGATCAAATCTCTTTTTCTGCTTTCTACTGTGAATGTCTATTTAATTGGTCTATTGAGTTGAGTGCCCAATGCTGGTCTATGAGGGACTATGACCCTGTTGTAGAATATTATTTTAAGGTGTGTTACTTTTGTTTATGCTCTGGACCATTTGTTTAATAGTGCAAAGATGTGTTTGATTAAATAAAATTCACCTGCGGCCAGAAGGCTGCGACTGCTGCTGACAGGAAGTTGTAGGGAGGAGCCCTGGTGGAGACGGGGTTTTTAAGGAGGGGGCGAGGAGTGGGTAGCACAAGAACTTCTTGGGAGACTGAGGAGCTGAACTAGGTGAGCTGCTTGTTATTCAGCCTCTCTGGGGAGCCAGATTCTACCTCAGCCTTTGAATCTTGAGGGTTTTTTTTTTTTTAATTTGAGGGACAGAGATTTAGATTTCCCTTTGTAGCTTTGAAAGAATTCCCTCAGGCTGCAGCTCTTGCTGCTGATAGTGGTGGAGTTGCAGTTGCTGACTGGGATAGCCATGGCTTTTATATGGCAGCAATGATTAAAGAGGACAACACTAACAAGTCTGTTGACAACTTGGCAAGTCATGACTAGGAGAAAAGGCTTATTTTTTCAGCACGCTGACCCAGGTGGAGAGGAAAGATTGAGGTGTCCCTTACAGTTGCTGGAGTCACTTTATCCCTAGGACTTTTCCCGTCTTTCCACACTCTGCTTTGTGAAGGAGATGAGAATTTGTATTATGTTCCAGACTCTTGAGGAAACCCGACTCTTGGTAAGCTTTCCCCAGTCAGCTCACCTCCATGTTTGCCTTTCCGTTGGTCTGGGGATTCTTCTCACAATTAATTCAGTGCTTTGAGTTTGCTTATCTAAGAGCATGGCTTGTAGGATAGCCTGAATCCAGTAACACTTTGAGCTGCATGTAGTCTTTTTGAGCCATTGTTAGCACTTGCCATTTGGTTCCTAGCTTTGTCTTTCAGAGTCCTGCTCAGCCATTTCTGGTTCTGTTAAGCCATTTGGTCTATTACACCATGCTATGACAGGCCTTGTCCATTTGGAAGGCTCTGCAGGCCTTTGAGCCCTTGGGGTACTTCTGAGCAATGAGGGTGTGGAGGAGGTGCCTGCTGTGATTTATGGCACTGGGAGGAATACTGTTGTGTGCTCTCTTGGTGCCTTTGGTACCCCAGGAAGAAATTCTAGCTGACCAGCCTTTTGTAAACCTAGAATAGTATCTGAAGCAGCACAGGGATAACATCAATCTCTTCCTGGACCTCTTGAGAACCAACCTGTAGCCATCTTAATTTTGCATTTATTTTTTAACATATTGCTCATTAATTTTGACATAACCCCATTAACATGCATGTATGACAAAAAGGAGCAGAAAGTGTTGCTTTAAATGAAGGTAAACAACTTCGTCCATATTGTGAGAGTAAAGAAGCATTTCACATGTTTCCAGGCATTGAGAAACTTCAAGGGATAGAAGGTTTCTACCTGTTTGTTCTCAGTTTATGAGTTAAGATGTACTGTAGCAATTCCCCTTTGTAAAGAGGCTAGGAACCTCGAAAAAGAGGTGAGAAGGTTCTGCGTGGTATGTGTGTCTTAAACTAACCTTGTCTTGTAGTGATAGTTTGTCAGCGGGCAATAGTATGGACTCGGAAATGGAACATGGAGTATACATGAGAAAAATGGGGAAAGTGGGGGGAGGAGGCGGTGGAGTAAGAATTTTGTTTTGAGCCGGGCGGTGGTGGCGCATGCCTTTAATCCCAGCACTCAGGAGGCAGAGGCAGGTGGATCTCTGTGAGTTCGAGGTCAGCCTGGTCTACAAGAGCTAGTTCCAGGACAGGCTCCAAAACCACAGAGAAACCCTGTCTCGAAAAACCAAAAAAAAAAAAAAAAAAAAGAAAAGAAAAAGAATTTGGTTTGGAGCTAGAGGGGAAAGGGTCAGGTGAGCAAGTCAAGGTCACTTTGAATTGCTGCTTTAATTGAATAGCATATTACAAAATCAAACAATGATCTAATACATTCAAGTGGTACAAAACATTGAAGAAAATAAAATGTGTTTCTTACTCATTCAGAGTTTGCAGAAAGCCAGCTTTTAGATGGAGTGCTGTTGTATGACACTATTCCTGGGAAGACGCGAATAAATGTCTGCTCACTGCAGATAGGAAAGCAAAGGCAGACCAAAGTTAAGGATATCTCTGAGCTGCAACTTGGTCTTATTGGGGTTTCATATAGGAATATGGGTTAGGAGTTACTTATAAGACTTATATGACTCAAAGACAGCTGAATCACCAAAGTCCATCCTAGCATGAATGACAGCTTACAAAAGTGGCAAATCTGGACTGCACTGCACAACTTGCTGGCAGCTCCGTGGGTAGGAGCGTGTATTTGGGCTGCTCAGTTGGTCTGAGCCTCTTCAGACAGCTTGGCTGCTCTGAGAATTTTTCTTAGCAGCTCTTACTGTTTATAGACGCACCCAGAAGGAGGGGACGAAGTACATTTAGTCAATTCCAGGGACTTCCTGTAGCTTTTGAGTTGTTTACTTTCTGAATCTTAAATGAGCCT